TGCCGTAAAAATACGCCAACAATCTTCGGGATTAACTAAACATAGGAAGCCAAGGAATCGAAAAAGGAATCGAAGCAGGCCGCATTTGCACGCGTCAGGCCTGTCAACGCGTGCAACTCCCCTATAGTACCTACCCCGACATTGGCACTAGGCCAGGGAGCATCGCAAGGGTATCCCAGCTATTCTACACGAGTCCGTTCTTTGAATGCATGTTTCGCGTTCGGATCACCACACCTTAACCTCAGCCTATCTCGCAGCTCCAACTACTCAGTTTGCGTGACCTCTCCTTGCTTAACTCGAACAGATCAAGCTGATTTGCCCGTATCTGTGGTGTCTCTGTTTCCTGCCCGGAACGCAGTAGATGGAGTGTCCGATGTAGTAGCTACAAAACCTCAGTACGCATATGTTACTCTCAACTTTCACTTGTCTCGCTTCGTGCTTTACCACCGCTTCACTGCCTGATCCTTCCACCTAATAGTACTATCAGCGTTCGAGTGTACACTTCGTCTCGGCAAAAATTCGGAGCTAGGGTACACTCGCCGAGTCACATCAACAATCACCTTGAATATCAGAACTCTCCGCTCATCGCTTGCCAGTTTGACTGTCTTAAGCTGAAAGTCTGATCACTTTCTGAAGCTGCACTGGTAACTTGTGCGCATGCATTCATTTACAGTGCAGTCGGCTTGCGAGCTACCTACCACACCCTATTCCCTTTTATGCGTTTCTGTATTTGCCCCCCTCATAATAACCAAAACAGTGAGCATGCCTGTGCCTACCCCTCCTTAACCTAGGGCAACAATAGAAAATGAATGCCAAATAGTGAAAGATACTCACTCCCTACAGACTTGTAAGCCCCTGTCTCATACAGTCATGGTCGCTGACGAGGCCCGGACACGTGTTGGTAACGGTACTTCGTGGAGGGAGCCGGTGACACTGGATATTTTTATGGCTTTGTAGGAGCGAAGTAAGGTGGGTATGGGAAGGGGGAGAGTGTGGTAGTAATTGCGCAAGTCTACTATCACGCGTACGTCACCGTCCCTGCACCACCCTGTTGGACAGCATACGATGGACATAGTCGAAATCGACTGTCGAACCATCAGAAGCGAAGTCAAGGTTCTCGTGTCCAGGTGCGTCCGCGCTGTGGTCGTGCGTATTTCTTTGTTGTTCGGTCGGCCAAATTGGCCCGCCAAACTATACCGTGGACGCGTCTGAGAACGGTCTCAGCGTACGTGGATAACCTTTATGCAGCAGGGTGCTGACAATAAAAACTGCGGGCGACGCTGTGTTAGCGGACAGCCACGTCCTCTCCACGGTGGAGTACACAAGACTCTAATTTCTTATACTCCTCTTACTGCAAATGATGTCTTAAGAATCTCATACACAGGAATATTTATGTTATTTCCAATGTTACTCTGTTTTATGACAGGAAATATACTCATCCTTTCGCTCGGTTTTCACCACAGAAACTGCCTTCGTCATAACAAGTGACGAGATCGCGGGAGCGCCAAGTATTGAGGATATTCTGTTTGGAGAAGAAATGATTTTTCAAGAACTAAAAAGCTTGAGGAATGTGAATCTCCCGGTCCAGATAAAATTTCAGCAAAATTGCTTCATGAACTTGCTAGAGAGTTTTCTAAACCGTTGTCCATGATATGCCAGCAATCGTTCGATACTGGAAGTCTTTCCCCAGATTGGAAAACAGCCCACATTACACCGCTTCACAAAAGTGGTAGTCGTGCACTTGTGAACAACTACAGACTTGTTAGTTTGACCTCCATATGCTGCAATGTGATGGAGAAGATCATAAAAAAGAAATTGATAACATATCGTGAATCTCACAATCTCTTGTCCAATGCGCAATATGCTCCTCTTACTGGAAATGATGTCTTCGAAATCTCATACGCAGGACTATTGATGTTACTTCCAATTTTACACCGTTTTATGACAGGAAACATATTCACCCTCTTATCCAAAGTGCACTCATGACCGACCCGATGAAATGTTAACTGAAATTCGGAAATGCATTTGCGATTAACAAGGATTACCCAAATGAGATTCTTATATTCACAACTTAATCGCAAAATATTCGGTCCGGCAAACACATCTGAGTTCCTCTAAACTGCGTGGCAAAATGAAAGCCTTGTTGATTCCTTCCCAGAAGCGTGACTACATGTATTTGATTTTCCTAAACTGACCGAAGAGGGACTTCTTATGAAGGGGCTTTTTGCTAGAATGATTTTTGCAAATAACTGAAAACATACTGACAACAAAAGCCATCATGTTACTCTGTACGGTTGGACATGTGTTCCACGCGAACCAGTGCTCCATTAGTCTCTGTGTATGAACTGTACCTACCTGGTAAATTTATTGCTACTCGGCATATCTCTGTAACCTCTTTTTTCAAACCTATCATTTATGCATCCTGTGATCTGGGCTTTTACCACTTTGCGGCTTTTTTTTCAGGGTTTGATCACCTTAAAGCACCTACTCAGCCACACAAGCGGCCTCCGTCACTACCAAAAAGTCAGTAAAGGTGACGTGCAAGGCGAGAAGGAGAAGAAGAAGAGAGTTGAAAATAATGACGTAAGTATTGACGTCGCCTTCCTCATATTTTTTGGTCTTGATATGAGAGAGATAGAGTTTATTTTGAAAATAAAATTCCACAATTTTCGGCAAAAACGTCCTCCATCCACCCTGAATAAAATTGGGCACACAAATTACATAGGTCCGGGAGATCACCAACAAGGCATAATGACCGAAGACTGCAACTATCGACATCATGAAGAATGGTCCTTGGGTAGGATTATGTCGTGAGGTCTGTGAAAGGTCCTTATGTATTATAGCCCCCTACTTAAATTTTTAAGTAGGTTGAATTACCTATAATCTTCCGGTTCTCTACACGCCACCCATCGATCCAGCTGGGATTTGCTGTTGGCATTGAACTGTAGAACGGTTCTTCGAAGGCAACCGAATTCCATAATTGCTATAATCAGCAAACTAAGA